GGCAGTCAATTTACTTAATTTTTATGAAATGTCCAGCAATTTGAGGTTGATATTTTGTGAAAAGGTTTGATAAATGACACACTTACATTCAATATATCAATGCTTCTTTGCGCGTATCAGTGTAAGCTAGGGAATATCTAAGTTGATTTCGACACGTGCTCACCTCTGAGTCTTTGGTAGATTTCCATAAAACATTGGACTTTTATAGCTGGACATGGAGTTAATGCAGCACCTAAATTGCAGATCCACATTAGGTTCATGATTTGAGAACGTTTCTCGTTCCTCGCACCAATAACCGTACCGGGATAGTTAACGTGATTTTGAAATGAGCTAGCTGATCAGCTTTACTCTAATTACCAGGAAATTCTGAACCTCTGCAGATTCATATTTTGTAAAGAGGCTGGCTAAATGAATAATCACATTGCAGTCAAGTATTACTTATCACGGCTTCTTTGGTGGCATCATCAACAGCGATCAAAGACCTTTCCGATTAGGCTTTTGCAAGAATTTCGTGACAATTTCATCTTGAGATACCGGATATCTTGAGCATGGTCCGCTGAAATGGCAGATCCAGATTTAAGCCATATGCAGATTTGTAAATGCTTGCTTTTGCTAGCAGCATTTGAGCGACGGAGAACTTAACTAGGTTTTGCTTGGCACACCTTCACAATAGGGGCTTTTGCTAGTTTCTATCTATCAATTAAGCCTATCTAAAGCCAAAATGTTGAGCCAGATAATTTAAGAATAAAACTCAAAGTATGGATGCTCGTGATCTATTTCTCTTTGTTCCCATAAGTTGAAGACTACCACTAAATTTCATTATTTAGGTACTTATCTATGAAAAAATAATTTGCTGACATGCTCAATCATTAACACTACAATAGATAATCCCGATCCATAAGCGAAGATCAATAAAACCCAAATGCAATCCAAAATCCGCACCGACTGAAACGATCCTGCTTGGTTATTGCATTTGGGTTTCCTGGCAATGCGTATTTTGGCTCGCCTGGCTATGCCTCTTTCTTGCAAGCTTAATAATCTAAGGATATAAAAAATATTGATCTATAGTATATGATAAGCATACAATTCAATTATGTATAAATTGGTAAATTTTTAAATGGCTATATCTAATAATATGATGATATATTGGCATTTTAACACGCTGATTTAATTAAATTATTACATTTTGCCTAGATCTCCAGGCATCCGCATGTCGCAAAGTAGGAAACGAATTTTAGCTTTCAAATCGTCGT